AATAATAATATAATGTAATAATAATAATAATGCAATGTAATAATAATAATAATAATAATAATAATAATAATAATAATAATAATAATAATAATAATAATAATAATAATGAGAAACTTCAAAAGGCTGCCAGTAGTTGGTGCCACCATCAGCAAAACATTGGTAACCACTACAAGTACACTTTTCACCTGTCTAGGCTGAAGTAGTCTATTAGTATTAGGTTAAGTCTGCCTGAAATGCCTCAGAATGATAGTGGCTTTCTTTGCTCCAATCATATTATGATATGTAAGCACATATAGTAATCTTTGCAAAGAAATAAATATCTTTTTTATTTATTTATTTAAGGAACCTCCCTTGAGGGGGAAATTTGCATCCTGAAATTTCCTTTGTATCCAGAAGCAAAAAATCGACCAAATGACGGTTCGTATCTTGAAAAATTCGCATGGTGGGGTGTTCGTAAGCTGAGGTTCCACTGTATATTAAACAACCATGTAACTATTGAATTTTGTACCTTGTATCCTAAATGTCCTGTCACAGACCGGGCTGTGGGGGCATTGATCCCCAAAACCCTCTCCAGGTTTACTCCTGGTGTGATGCCTATTGAGTTCTCCTCCTCTAGCCCTCTTTCTTGTCTAGCACAGCTGTAGTGTTAGATGTCTTTGTTACTGAGAATACCATATCAGAGGAATGCCATTTCCTTAAGGGCTTGTTCTCTGACCTGAGAATAACCAGGTAAGTCTGTGAATGGTGATGGAACAATGACTGAAGAAGGTGTAACACTATCTTGCTCGTCCTTCCATGTTCTCAGTGTGAGACTGTTATGGGGCTATAGGACCCAACATGTATTTATAAGTAACAGTTACTCTGGAATACCTAATTATATTGAATTGATGGGGACTCAGTTCTAAATGTGATTTCAACAAACTGGTGGGAGTGTTGCTGTCCCAGGACTATTTTCTTTGACATGACTGATGATATCCAGGAATATCTGGAAGATATGAATTATTCATCAGTCATGGAAGTGAGTGAATTCACAGATACCTATGAGGTGCATCAGTTGTTGAAGCTCGGGGCATGGAAGCACCACCAAGTGGATGATATAATAAACATAATATTTCTGAGAGGGTTTGCCAACCTGAGCCTCCATGGGTCATCGAGACACCTGAAAATAGGCGACGTGCGACTACTGAGAGGAAATCATTAAATCAGTCTCAGTCTAAGTTCAAATATAAGGTTCCACATGACATTATGATTGCCTCATTCTAGAACAGTGTAAATGAAGAACGTTGACAATGGCAAACTGAGATTTGAGCTCTAATCCAACAGTATGTGTCAGTTCAGGTCCAGCTGTAGGCAACCCTTGTTGGATGAAAATGGTCTATAGCCAGCAAGAGGATATGAGTAATAATAATGGGAACTACACTAATGGGTCGGACTGCTAGCCTGGATATACATGCCCAACCATTGTCTTGTGGTCCTCAGTAGTAAGTGTTCCGCCTGCCTCATTAGGCTAATATCTTCTGAGAAGCCTAAGGTGTTGCTGAATCTTAAATACTTATGCATAGCTTTCTTTTTGAAAGTTTTTCATGGGTTCTGTGTGTAAAGAATTTCTCATGGTCTGTGACACACAATCAACAAATTCTGGAATGACCTACTGACTCTGTGCTGGAGATACAGTGGACCCTCGACTAACGATATTAATTGGTACCCGAGAACGAATATCATTAGTCCAGTTTTTTTAGCGTCAGTCGAGGCAAAATGTTAGCGTTAAAATGTATCGCTAGTCGAATTTAACGTTATACGATGCCATCGTTGGTCGAGGGTCCACTGTACTTCCAATGGCGGCTGTGATGTGATCATGTTTATTGTATAGGAGCTGAGGCAAGACACAGAAGAGGAACACATGATAGTGAACTAGGGTTAGATCATATGCTGGACAGGATCCAGCTGTGTCTCTCTCTCTCATCGAGAGGCTTTACGAATACCTGGTTCTGTAGAATCGCAGTTGATATCTTTCAGTAACAGAGCAGAGGAGCACCATAACACTCTTGCTTTTCTTTGTGCAGTCTCTGTAGCAAATGTGGTCAATAAAAATGACACTTTTTGTACAAGTCCATACCACTTGGTGTGGAGAAGCCTCAGAAAGGAAAAATGATTTATTTTGGTGCTCTCGGAATGCAAATGGATCAGAGCAATAGAAACAGTGGACAAAAGTACCATGGGTGGACACCTGGGCATTAAGAAAACACTGGTGAAAAATTCTGCTTATGTCCCGACGTGTGCCACTTACCACATAACAGGAGAAACCTTGTCATGCAATTAAACTAGCCCTGTTGTATCTTATACCATTGTTCAGTGAACCTTTCTCTACTCTTAGCAACTGTGTTGGTCCCGTATCTCGGACTCGTGTGGGTAGTGAGTGCTTCTTAACAGTTGTATCCCTCGTCTCAATATCCTGAACAATGCAATACCACTATGATGAGTCAGTGTAAGCTCTATTGTGTGGGCTCCAATAATAATAAAATGTACATCTAGCAGTGCCTAAAGAAATTCACTCAAGTAAGAGAGCAAATGCCACATCTTATGTTTTTCATGAAATTCTCTCCCAGATGTGAATAACCAGTAACATCTTGAATCACAGTGTACAACTGAGAGACACTGAAAACCAAACTGAAATTCTAGATAGGCAACATATAACGGTATTCTTCAATTCATCTGGGAATGCTATGACTAGGAGAGTAGACAGTCCATCTCACACCCTGAATACAGCCCAAATTCACATACCCCCTATAGACGGCTATCTTAGATTTATTTATAATTAAAAATGAACTCTTATTATTTAATTCTTTAATATGCATGGAAAATATTTTCTACAGGAGGCAAGAGAGACACAGATCTTCTAAATTTAGAAAGATTTAATAGTACCATTTAGCAGAAAAGGACAGATAATATAGAATTACTTAATAAGTTCTAGTTAGATGATCAGAGATTAGAGACAGTGCGAGGTTTGGTGTTGAAAGTACTCATGATGCAATCACGAGGATTGTAAACAAGAGTTGTGTAGGTACAAGAGTCAGAGAGCAAAAACTTGGTCTATTGGAGGTAATCACTTCGATCACTAACAACCATAACACTGCCTATATCAGAAGGAAAGACAACAATATTAGTAAGAGGTTTAAGAGAAGTCAAAGCTAATAGCGACAAGGAAGGTTGTGATTCTTAGAAAAAGAAGGCCATCAAGGGTAGGGATAAGAGCAGCACGAATGGTGGGCGGGTGATTCTATGTGAAAGGAATCAAAGAAACTAATCAGGTGAATGTCATTGTAAAGGCCATTAATATATTCAAGTTGATAAAGGGAATGTGTGACAGGAAAATTTGGGCCAAGGGTTGTTAGAGATAAGACAGTGTAGTTTGCTCTGCAGCATAGCAGAATTAAGGTGCGAATCAAGGCAAGCAAATGTGACTTGCAAATACTCCAGGAGTGAACAAAACATTATCAATAATTTCCTCGGGTAAGTGAATGAAAAGCTTAGCGATTCTGAGGTGATGTATCAATTAGCTAACATAATACGTGTTACTTATAGATATCCTGATATGATTATCAGAATGACAAACAAGGTAACTGCAGTGTCATATGTCATGAATGATAAGAAATGTAGATACGTAACACTGAAGAATGCTGAATAATTACGTGAATACAAGCACAATACAGCATAAGAGTTGGTACTGAAAACCATTTTGGTAACAACAAATTAATTTTAAACCAAATCTTGTAATACTTAAAAAAATGCAAATTTTAAAAATTTAAAATCAAGTCTTTTAATAACCTCTTCTGAATTTCTTCCCATCTGAAGGTCAACTTAAGTTTAAGCAAGTGATGTGTTCTACGGTCAGAGGAAGTGTGGCACTTATCCCACAGTGCATGCAGACACTTACCTTTCCTAGGAGCAACCCTTCATACCCTCCAAAGCAAGTGCTTCGATACTGGTGAGAAAGTCATGATCCAAGAAACTGAAGCTACCCTTCCCTTCCTCAAAGCAAGCCTAATTACCTTCCATTCTCCACGTGCTCTATTACCTCTATGGCTTTAGCACTCTTCCATTAATATAATATTAATAATGTTAATAAAAACAGGTATTGTGAGAGTGTTGATGCCACCTGCTGCTCAGTCCTGGTTGAGAAGGTTCTCTCACACCAGGTCATGTATCGTGAAATGGTCTTCATGAGCAAGAAGAGTCTTTCATATAACTTTCAACACTGTTGAATTATATCAAAGGATACATATTTTCCCTGGAAACTCAGATAGGTAGTTACATATGCATGCAAGTACATATACACACATACATAAACACCTACCAAAATATATACATAAAATGTCATATAAAAACAAAATTCTTTTTAACAAGGTCTATGACAAATTGCTGATAGAAAAGGATTGATATTTACTATTAGTGAAGTAACAGTGTCTCATTCAAAAAATAATTTAGTACTGTACTGCAGTTGGGAAGATCTTGTAAAGAGCTAAGAGCATCACACAAATGTCAACATTACCTTTACAGCAGCTTACTGATCTCCGACCTCAAACCTTAGAGAAGAATATAGATGAACACAGACAAGACAAGAAATTGGTGTGAATTAAAAAATGCAGAAGTAAAGGCCTGCCAAGTCCCCACAGGTCAAATCTCTCACCCTTTACTATTTAGCACAAACAAATTGAGTGCATATGCAAATTATGTATGCTAAAATGCTAAGGGAAAAAATAGGAATATGCACTGAAGTGCATATGGTAACTGTGACACAGCTGGTATTATTTTGTTACACATCTAACCCTTACCCTAACTAATTAGAATGACAGTATGACACATGCCTTGTCTCTTAGAGCTTGACAGGCCTGGAAGTGTCAGATGGACAGTAATTGCAAAAAGGATCTATATACAGTTTTTAAGAGAATTCCAATGAAAAATAAGAGATGTAATGAAACATGCAGTTTGGATATATTTACCCTCCATCGGCTCTTTGCAAAATTTTTCTTGAGCTGTTCGGAAACGGAGCTGTGGATATTTCTGTCGCTTGCCGCATTACCAGAAATCCTGAAAACGAGCAGTGGCATCAGTGAGTTGATAGCGATGTGCCAGGGATGATATACAGTGCCATGATATATACTTACTCAAAATGCCCCTTTAGAAATGAGGCAACCCAGGAGCTGAGACCCTGCAGGAGGAATAGTGTCTTGATGCCAGTAAAGAGCTCTTGCTCTGAGGAATGGAAGCAATTCTCCCTGTCCTTGAAAGAAGCCTATATCAATATATAGAACAGCTACTCGGCTGATGTGGCAAAAGTTTCTGGCTTAAAGTGAACAATAAGAAGAAGTTTTTGGGTGGTTAGCTGCTGCAACATATGTATACGTAATATATATATATATAATATATATATATATATATATATATATATATATAATATATATATATATAATATATATATATATATATATATATATATATATATATATATATATACATATATATATATATATATACCTGGACTGGGGACCCTCATCCTCAGAGAAGACAATAAACATACCTCAGTGAAAACTCAAGGTTCTCCCCGGAGCTGTTTGAATATTTTCTTCTCCTACCACCCCCTATATTTTATATTCTATGTGAGCATTTATTAATAAACAGAATACATTTACAAAGAACACAAACATGAATACAATGGTACAATGTATTAGAGATCATGAATTTCCTCCAGCTCCTCCGAGGCCGGACGCGAGTCAAGTAAGCAGCAAGCATTTCCCCTCTGGATAGCCATGCTGAGGCGCTGGAACATGAAAGTGGCTGCCCTTGGGTCCCTGGTGGTGTCGATGAGTCTGGAACCCAATTCTTTAAGGAAATGTGTGGCATTTTTTCCCCATGATCCCAAGGTCTCTGATCCCACTGGGACAAATTGATACTGTTGGCTTATGTCCCTGTACTTGCTGATCTTGTACTCCTCCCTGTCACCCCACACTGTGATGGATATAGGTGTCAGCCAGTGTGGACACACAGGTATAGTCCCACGCTAAGAGCTTGCCATTCTTCCAAGGATAGATGGTGATCCCATTGGGGTGGTTTGCTGGGCTGTGGGTATTGTTGGCTTCTAGTGATCGGGGCTCCCTCTCAGCTGGGCATCCAGCTGTAGCAAGGGTTCTCTTTATGATGTTGTTGACCTCACTGTGTCTTGCATGCCAGCCCTTGGTTTTAGAACAGTTAAGACCATGTAGACCGTATTGGTCTACTTGCACTTCGCTGCAAATACACATATATTCTGTGTGAATTGGGGTAGCAAGGCGCAGAGCCACTGCAGTACAGAGGGTCTTAGGGTGGAGTCGCGCTCCCATTGCCGATATGGGAACTGTTTGGAGAAAGTCCCCGGAGTGAGGTGCACTCACAGCCTGGATACGGGCAGTCTCCCTATCTGATGTTGCAGCCCTGAGCATATTGGCAAGCACCTTTTCAGCAATTGGGCCATCCCAGCTTGACTGTTTGTGAGCCAGTGCTGCACTAGGGTTTGGTGCTGAAGCAGCAAGAGTCTTCCATTCGGTGATGGCACTGGCATAGCTAGGGTCCTGTATTCCGGCTAAGTCACTGAGGTTATCAACTTGTTTGATGCTATGGAAGAGGATAGGAAAGCTAGGAGAGCAATCTGGGAGGATCTGCATACTCCCAGCCCCCCAAGCCTGACTGGAAGTGAGGCTTGCAACTACTGTCCATCTTCAAGGGAAAGATTCAATACACTCTCCAGCATGGTCTTAAGGAGAGTCATATTCCTTGAGTTTTGGACTGCTGAAGGCTGGGGAGCATCTCAGAAAGTAGAAAGTAGGTAAGTTTTGGGATTGAGAGGTACCTGGTGAGTAAGTAGAAGGCATCATGTGTGTCAATGTCTTTCATCCTGCTTTCCATCGTCTGGAGGTCTGAGACTTTTTTTCTAGGATCAGATCGATGGCATTGGACCCAAGAGGAGCACCAAGGAGAGTGCTGTTGGCTGGATCAATGGCTCGTGCTCCTGGTAAAACGGCGCTAATATTCTGGATCATCCTTCGATTGGTAGAAACTATTTCACATCTGGTGGGGTTTAAAGAAAGGCCCAGGCTTTCTCCCATGTCTTTAATTTTACTGATGTCTTCTAGGAGAGATTCTGTTGTGCCAGCTAGGGTACCATCATCCAGGAACCAGATATTGAGCTCACTGGAGAGTGCTTCCGTGACTTCCTTGATGACTAAACAGAATAGAAAGGGGGCGATTCTATGAAGGGATAAAGGGAAGAGAAGTTTCTATAAACTGCTTGGAGAGCAGCATCCCTTCTGACTGAGTTGAAAGCATTGGCAAAGTCCAATTTGACCAAGGCTTTTTCATCGGACACATTGTTGATATACATTCGTGCTGTGTGGGCAGCTGCTTCACAGCCCTGTTGAACGCCAAAACCGAGCTGAGTTGGTTTCAGCATTGCAGCAGCCTCTTGACTCACCCTTTTTACACACACACATATTCAGTGTACCCTTGGCTTACGATATTAATCCATTCCAGAAAGCTCATCGTTAGATGAAATTATCGTTAGTTGAATTAATTTTCCCCATAAGAAATAATGGAAATCCAATTAATCCGTTCCACACACCCAAAAGCATGAAAAAATTTTTTTTACCACATGCAATATACATTTTCCTACACAGAAAAAGAAGGATACATGCACAATATACTTTACTGAGTGAAGAATAAATGACACCTTTATTGAAGATGTAGTGATGAGTGATGAGACACTGTTTTTCTTAGTGGGATGAATTGTAAAGGACCTGCCTAGTATGGGCCAACGGGCCTGCTGCAGTGTTCCTCCTTTCTTATGTTCTTATGTTCTCTGGGATTTTCAGAGTGATACATGAGTAAAGGCTCCACTTTGCAATCCCTACTAGCATTACAAGAAAACATGAGAGTTAATCTGTCTTTCATAGGCTTGTGTCCTGGGAGTGCCTTTTCCTCCTGAGTAATGTAGGTCTTGTTTGGCATTTTCTTCGAGAACATTCCTGTTTCATCACAATTAAACACTTGTTAGGGTTGGAATTTTTCAGCTTCACCATGCCCTATCACACTGTGTATGCTACTATGATTCTTAAATCTCTCAAACCATCCTTTGCTTTGCTGGCCTTAAATTCACCAATATGACATTAAGTTTTCCAGGCATTTTTTCCTGTTCATCTGGGTGTTAGTCAACTAGTGTAGGTCGCATCCTGGGGGACAAATAAGTTAGACAGTCCTCGATGACGCAATGACTTTCTTGGGTTATCCTGGGTGGCTAACCCTCTGGGGTTAATTGTTTCTCATTAAACCACACCAACAACAGTTTCTCCACATCTTTGAGTTGTACAGCTGATGGTGGTGCAGCAACAGCTGATGGTGGTGCAGCAGCAGCTGACTGTGGTACGATAGTATTTCGATGGTATTTCTCACCCTTTTTACCAAAGGGTTGGCACTAGAAGCTTTCTTTGGGCCCATGGGGGCTTATTTAGCAGTTACAAGCACTAAAAAAATGGAATAATAAAAAATTTATCAAATGTATGCATGCAACCTGAGGGCTCATTGTTAGTCAAAATTATCATTAGTTGAGTTAATTTTCCCCATAAGAAATAATGGAAATCAAATTAATCCATGCAAGACACTCAAAAGTATGAAAAAAAATTTTTTACCACATGAAATATTAAGTTTAATGCAATAGAATAATTACAATAACAATAGATTAATAACAATAGAATAACTGACACTTACCTTTAATGAAGATCTGGTGATGATTGATGGGATGGGAGGAGGGGAGAGTGTGGATGGTGTTAGTGTTTAGAAGGGGAATCCCCTTCCATTAGGACTTGAGGTGTCAAGTCCTTCAGGACATTGTTTTTCCTGAACACTCTGGGAGTTTCAGAGTGATACACCAATAAAGGCTTCACTTTGCAATCACCACTAGCATTAGCACACATCAACAGAGTAAGCCTGGCTTTCATAGGCTTATGTCCTGGGAGTGCCTTTTCCTCCTGAGTAATGTAGGTCCTGCTTGGCATTTTCTTCCAAAACAGGCCTGTTTCATCACAATTAAACACTTGTTTAGGTTTTCACATATGATCACTTGAGAGATGCTATCTCCTGCTATCTGTTTTTCATTTATCCACACCAATAACAGTCTCTCAACATCTTCTATCACTTGCAGTTTCAGTTTTGAAAACATAGTTGCACCTTTGGCAAATCAGCTTCCTTGATTGCCGTTTTCTTGGCCACAATAGTAGCGATGGTTGATTGGGGTTTTGCGTACAACCTGGCCAGCTCCGACACACGCACTCCACTTTCATACTTAGCAATGATCTCTTTCTTCATATCCATAGTAATTCTCACCCTTTCTGCTGTAGGGTTGGCACTAGAAGCTTTCTTGGGGCCCATGGTGCCTTATTTTTCAGGTGCAATCACTAAAAATGCTGTGATAATACGAAATGTTCGGATTGTATGTTTGCATGGGACCACGGTGGCTGGCTGGCTTGTAAACATTGGCCACAAGTGGACGCGTCTCGGACGGAATAAATCTCGTTGGTCGAGTTTTTTAGTGCTAGTCAAGGCAAAATTTTTACGTTAAAATGTATCGCTAGTCGGATTTAACGTTAGACGATGCCAGCGTTGGTCAAGGGTCCACTGTATATATATATATATATATAGCTGATTTGTCAGTTAAAAACAGAGTAGGGGAGTCAGCAGATGGGGAGGTGGAGGTATTGGGTAGATGGCGGGAATATTTTGAGGAACTTTTAACCCTTTGACTGTCGTGGTCGTATATGTACGTCATAGGAGATACCGTGTTTGACGTATCTATACGCATAAATTCTAGCGGCTTCAAATCAAGCAGGAGAAAGCTGGTAGGCCCACATGTGAGAGAATGGGTCTCCATGGTCAGTGTGCACCATATAAAAAAAATCGGGGAGCCAGTGGTGCATTGTGGGAATACCATTTCAGTCGTCCTTTTTCAGCATGTCTAGCGGTAAGAAATATGTGACTTCCCTTCAAATCTGGGACTCTTCTCTTCC